AGAACTTCAATAACCATCGTCAAACGACTAGCCGGTCATGAAGCCTCGACTGCAGCTCTCCGTCATTCTTTGTCCTTCCCTGCAAATTCCCCAGCCCATCATCAAATTTATACAGAAAAAATATATAATAAAAAAAGGGGGGGATGGTGGAGCAAAGTGGTGCTGGCACCACGTGAAAAAAAAAAAGGAAGATAATGATGGAAGCTTGTTGGATACACGACACAAGAGGAAGAAAGAAAAGAGAAGTGGGGGGTGCATCCAGCACCGAATGTTAAAGAAAATAATATATATGTTTTGGGTGGTGCATCAACACCAAAAAATAGCAGAGATTATAATTATATATGTAATCACAAGGCATGGCCCATAGACATTCAACTATTAAAAAACATTTTCATTTTAAGGAATTCATAGTGCATTAAGGACACTTCTTTTTATTTATTGGTTAGGATAAAAAATCTGCGAAATTTCCCCATAATTAACACCCAACACTATAGTTCAGATTATATTATTTCAATTAGTTTCGCCAATAAAATTTATTCAAATGTATTCTTCTTTTTGAACATTTTTCCATTTTCCTAAAGGTCTACTGTAGGCATTAGGCTAAAGTAACACTATGAATAATTTCGACCTAACATGCATTTTAATTGTGAGTCGGGCCTTATGTTTTGATCACCTCTCAATGACACCCACTATACAAACCAGATCGACCAGGGTAAACTCTCTCGGACCAGGAGTGTCGAAAAACTCTCTCGGACGTGCCTCCTTAAACGGTAGTGAAATACAGTCAAACAAGTGTGCATGTCACACACCTATCAGCTAGCTTCCCACAACGACGGGACCACCACCATCCGACTCAACACTCTTTGAAGAGACTGGCGGTTTTGGTTTCTTAGAGACCAATCCACGCGCAGTCACGCACTATGGCCGAGAGTGGTGAATAATCACTGTTAATCATCTTCTCCCAATTTTCTAGAAACTTTCCAGATTTTATAGATCCTTATGCTCTAGCACCTTGTAGAACGAAACTATGGGGAAAGATTTGTGTGAAGGCCCCTAAGGTTGTGAGGGAGAAGTTACTATAGGAATTTTGGCTAGGGGGCTATGGAATGGCTGCTGTATTTACAGGCATATTCCACAAGATCAACTTAATAACTAAAAGATAGGGTAAATTACACAGTAGCCCCTCATGTTTTGAGGTTTATTACAACCCCATACAACAACTTTAAAACATTTCACTTTCATAACTCAAGTACTATTTTATTTCAATATAATACATCCGTTAGATTTTCCATCCATTAATCCGTTAAGTGCTGACGTGGCTGCTAAATGTGTGCCACGTGGCAATTTTTTTATTTTTTTTAAAAAACTAAATCTTCTAAAAAAAAGGTTAATTAACCACCCATGTACCCCTCCCCCCACCCCAGTTCGTCGAAGAAGAAGAGGGAGAAAAAAAAAAAGCTGCAGTTCGTCGAAGACCCAGTTCGTCCATCCCCAAAACCTGCAACAACAAGAAGAAGAAGAAGAGGGAGAAAAAAAAAAGAAAAAAGAAAAAAAGCCCCAGTTCTTCCCACCCAAGCCATCACCCACCCCCAAAAATTCCACCCGAGATTAGGTGGATCTACCACAAAACCAGTCCAAAAATCATCTTAAACTCAAAAGTATTTTCAAAACTCACCCACACTGAAAATCACAAGATCCTGGCGGCGGGGGGAAAAGAGAAGGGTCGCGGGTCGTGGCGGGGGGAAGGGAGGTGGGTTGCGGGTCGTGGCGAGGTGGAAGGGTTCTGGGCTTTTTTTTCCCCCTCTTCTTCTTCTTCTAGATTGCAGGTTTTTTGCGGGTGGGACGAACTGGGATTGAGGTTTTTTTTTCTTCTTCTTCCTCCTTCTTCTTCTTGTTGTTGTAGGTTTTTGGGTTCTGGGTTAGGTGGGTAGTCAGGGATGGAGGGTCTTTGCGATGAGGGGGTGTCCTTTCCAGATCTGGTTTTGGGGGGCTGACTTTCTGCAATCCGGTTTTGGGGAGGGGGGATTTTTCTGGGTTTGGTTGTGTTGGGGGGGACGGGTTTCTTTCTGGGTCTTTTTGGTTTGGGGTGTTCGCAGGGGGTAGGGGTTAGGGGGTTTCACGAGGATGGGGTTTTCTTTCAGCTTTTGTTTTTTGTTTTAAAGAAGATTTAGGTTTTTTTTTTTAAAAAATTATTATTTTTGCCACGTGGCATACATTTGGCAGCCACGTGGCACAAATGTGGTAGCCACGTCAGCACTTAACAAATCAATGGATGGAAAATCTAACGGATGTATTATTTTGAAATAAAATAGTACGTGAGGTATGAAAGTGAAATGTTTTAAAGATGTTGTATGAGGTTATAATAGACCTCAAACCTGAGGGGTTACTGTGTAATTTACTCTAACAGATATTACTAAGACCTCTATTTACATTTGGGTGGATTATTATTCATTTAATAAGCCAACCCATCACTCCTTAGTCCTTACTGATGGTTAGAATGAGAATAAGGTAAGGGAGAGAAGGGGAAGAAAAAGAACGAGGGTGGTGACTGGTGAGGGTTGAGGAGGATAGAAAACACATAGAGTCGCTCGGAGGTGTGGGGGATGGGTGGGGGGTGGTTTAGTTACTTGGGTTTAACTTTTTTTTCTTCTTTTTTTTCTTCTTTTATTTATTATATTATTATTTTTTCCTTTGACCAAGAGTTTGCAATTTCAAATGAAATGGAATATTTTTTATGCAGGTTAATTTTATATACAGGGTGATCGTGCTAAAACTCTATATGCTTCTGTCGTTTATCACTTACGAGCCGTGCGAGACGAAAGTCTCATGCACGGCTTTGAATGAGAGAAATAAGTGAGAAATCCTCTTTTCGATTCTGACTCTCCCACTTCAGTTGTTACTTTTCTTTCCGTTACTTCAAAAGTAGCTACTTCAGCTTCAGCCACTTGAATTTTTGATATTCTTCTTTATTTCTCATCAAACGAATGACATCATCTTTTGGAAATCCTTGCTATTCTTAGCATGATATTGGAGTATTTCATTGTTATTACTCAAAACAAGCATGAAATGTATGCTTGCATTTTTGTCCATAGGTCAAATTGGATATGTAATTATTGGAATGCAAGCATGATAACTTATATGGTGTTATATATCTCCATGAATCTAGGAAGTTTTGCTTGCATTGTATCACTTAGTCTACGTACAAAACTGATAATATTCAAGATTTATACAGGATTATACACAAATGATCTTTTTTTGGCTATCTCTTTAGCCCTATGTCTTTTATCCTTAGGAAATGTCTCTTATTCTTAGGAGGTCTTCCTCCACTAGTAGGTTTTCATTTATTCTGGTGTGGATGGCAGGCAGGCCTCTGTTTCTTGGTTTCAATAAGACTCCTATTTAGGATGAACGCTGGTGTCATGCATAACACATGCAAGTTCGACGGGAAGTAGTGTTTCCAATGGCGGACAAGTGGGTAACGTGTAAGAACCTACTATTGGGAAGGGTACAACAGCTGGAAACGATTGTTAATACCTCGTAAGCTGAGGAGCAAAATGAGGAATTCACCTAAGGAAGGGCTCGCGTCTGATTAGCTAGTTGGTGATACAATAGGTTGGTAACTTACCAAGGTGATGATCAATAGCTGGTCCGAAAGGATGATCATCCACACTGGGGCTGTAACATGGCCTAAACTTCTATAGGAGGCGGCAATGGGAATTTTCCGCAATGGGCGAAATCCTGATGGAGCAATGCCGTGTGGAGGTAGAAGGCCTACGGATCGTGAACTTCTTTTCTCAGAGAAGAAGCAATGACGGTATCTAGGGAATAAGCATCGGCTAACTCTGTGCCAACAGTTGCGGCAATACAGAGGATGTAAGCGTTATCCGGGATGATTGGGCGTCAAGCATCTATAGGATAAAACATTTTAATTTTTACACATTTAATTTTTTTGTATTTCAAAACAAAAACATGTTTATGGAACTTAATATTTTTGTATTTAACAACAAAAATATGTTTATGGAAGAGTATAAATAAATTTATTTAAAAAAGAAACTTCGAGTACGTTCGTTTTCTGTATAATTAAGAGAAAATCATTTCTAGCAATAGTGGGTAAACACCAATCCCAAATATAAGTATCACGAATTGAGTGTCCAACGCTAGTAATGACACTAGCAAGAAAAATCACCTTCCGAAAGACATGAGCCCGAAATATAGAAGTAAAAGATCGTGCAAATAATTTGATGTCTTCAGGAATAGTCTTTAATCGCCACAGTAAAAATGGTTCAGCCATTTGCATGTCGAACTTTGAATATTACATGAGAATAACCAATCATAGAACACCTCACTTCATTAATAAAGTGACATCTTTCGACGAAAAATCAAAGACTTTTCGTCGACCGAAAGTTAGAATGAATAGCTAGCCACAAACTTTGAGAATCTTTGTCTATCTAGTCGATCATGACTCCTAAGGCAAACTAACTCTCGAGCTTCAACCACATCTATCCAGTTGGTCGTGTTCATTGGTTGCTTTCGAAAAACCATGTATATCCAATCGGTTTCATCCTAGCTACCAATCCAAACCCAAATATCAAGGAAAAAATTGTGATGATGGTTAGCAAGTCAATTTCACATAAAGGATGAAAGGTTTTGTATTGAGCATTGATTTGTGTGTGAGTTTAAAGGTCTTCTTCATGTTTCCAATGCTTTTGTTTATATAATGTTCTCTTTTCAATTCCCACTCCAACTTAACCTCATTCACAGCTTATCTTAAAATTCACATAAACGAGCTTGGTCTATGAACTCATACTTGTTACTCTAATATCCAAATCTTATCGCCACATAATGTTTTTCAGGCTCAAAACTCTTCGACTGCCTCACCACTCTCCTACCATTGAGCCAAGGAAGATCACTCATTTCTTTAGGCCATACACAACAATTACTCGGCTCATACCACAATTTCAAGAACAAGCAATATTTTTTGAAAATTGTCACACAACGAAATTTCTTTCAAGTATTACATTATTATACTATTAGGAAAAGCTTGTAGCTCTACCAAAAGCATCTTCAAACAAGAACAGTTATATTGTGTTGACGAGCTCTAGTTAACACAATTTTACCATGAATCGACAAGTAAACTAGAGGTTTTAAAATGCAAAAATGTCCTAGGAATGCCCCTGGTGCACGACATCTACTTATGAAGCTTTTCTCATACAACTTTAGACGGAAATCGATGAAAGTGGTACATTTTGGAGCTTATAGGCGGTAAGAGCAAGTCTAGCGGTGGCCCAACCCACATGGAATTGGGTTAAATTGTCCTTAACCCAAATTGGTCAGGTAATTGGTGGGCTCTAAGATGCTCGTTGGACTGCCCTTGCAACAATTGTTGGGCCTTGAGCCTGCTGGCAATTGGCTAGCCCCACCCACATGCATCGAAGCAAGCCATAACTCAAATTTGGGTGTGCCACATCCTTTGGATTTCCAACTGTTTGTTGATCAAGACCATTGAATATCCATCAGTAAATTTTTTTTTGAAAAAGATTTTGTGCCACGTGGCATTTTCTGGTGCATCTGATTTCAAAATTTGAAAAATTCAACGACCATAATTAATTTAGCAGTAAAAAATAAAAATAAAAATATATAAAAAATTCAAAAAAACCTACAATGTTCAAACTTAAAAAAACTTACATAGGTTTCTGGTTTTTGTGCTAATCTTGGTTTAGGTGAGATTTAGTTTGGGCTGCTTTTATTGGGCTACAACTTGCATGGAATTATGGAATTAAGAAGATTATGGTAGAATCAGATTCTGCACTTGCGGTTCAATTGATTTCAAATGCAAAAGTGGATAATCACCATCTGGGAAGTTAGTACTGAATTGTCATGCCCTTATGAACCAAAGTTAGTCTTGTGAAATTCGTCATATCTATCATGAAAAGAATTTTGTTGTTGATGATTTGGCTCGTTTGAGTTTGTCATGCAGTTTGGGTCTAGTCTTTTTTGAGCAAGCTCCTCTTTCTTGTCATCAGTTGCTAGTTGCAGATATAGCTAGACTCTCGTGACCTCATGATATCCTTATGTAATCTTTCTTTTCTTTCTGGCTTATGTCCTGTTGTTAAAAAAAAATTACAAAATTTAACATTAAAATAAAACACATTGCAAAAGCGATAATGACGGAAAAAGCCAAGAGAACGTTAAAAATAAAATAAAAAAATATTTATGAATAGTATTCACCTTTTAGCCTTTAGAATTAGGGCTGGGCACTGGCCGAGCTGAGCCTAACTTTGGAGGAACCTGGTCCTACCCATTTTAAAATGTAATGGGCCGGGCAGGGCCGGGTCGAAGGATTTTGAATTTGGGAACCAAACCTAACCCGGCCCGTTTCAAATGGGCTAGTTCGGGACGGCTCCATGGATCCAATTACTTTTTTTTTTTCAGCTTTGGAATAGCACCAATTTATTGAGCAGAAGCAGAAGCAAAACCAAACCAACCATTTTAGACACTCATTTACACTACTCAAAACACAAAAAAAAAAAAAACAAAACAAATCCTACAAACATTTATGCACTGCATGTGCTTAAACACAACTAAATCAATGTATATACTCCGCACATGTTAATGATTCTTCCATGCATGTCCCAAAATAAGCAAACCATGAAATCCCAGATCCATAGTTTCTAACAGAACCCATTACTCTTACACACAAAACTACATCAAATCAATCTCACATATAACCAAATTGTTCAAATCGGTAAATTGAATCAATCAAATGGCACACTAGTTGAACCCAACCCTGAAAATTACACAAAAATTAAAGAAAATCATAACCCTAAGTCTCAATTTCTCGGCAACAGCAAGCATTACACAGAAATTAAGGAAAATGGAAAAGGAATTACCCGAATCGGCCAGCTTTTTAGGCCTGGCCATGCTTGCTACTCTCGCCGATCCTCGAAATACTTACAAAGTCTTCCTTTGTGAAAACAACATCGTTATAGGCCAAAAGCATGGGGCCTTATGGCGCGATGAATTATTTTAACACACAAATTAAACCCTCTTGTTGTCAATTGTAGTAAAGAATGTAAGTAGGGATCGTTCTAGGCCGAGGATTAGGAGGGATTGCTAAAACACTTGAAATTGACTTAAAAACGTAAAATTAAGTTTAAAACACCAAACTAGACTCAAAAGATGCAATACAAACTAAAAAGATTCAAAACTAGTTTAAAAGACTCAAAACTGCTTAAAACAATGAATTAGACTCTAAACTGACTCTAGGGATGGTTTTGGATGAACTTAGGTTCTAACTTGACTCAAGACACTTAAAAACACAAATCAAAACAGATTTTGACTAATAAAACACTTTGAAGTAAAGGGGGTTTTGGTTTTGACGAATTTGAAAACAAAACAAGTAAATTAAAGAACTAATGAAATCTGCACGAAATTGAGTAAATTGAATGGATGGAAGGCTAGCTAGGAGGTTCTTCTCCACACATGACATACTTGCACATAAACCAATTTTCAGTTGTTCTTTCGATCAATCATGAAACTAAACACCCCAGGTTAATTAAGTCCGCTTAAATTAACCTTCAAGTTCTCTTTAAGTTATTGAATTGGATGGGAAAACGCATACAACAATTCAAGCATTCTTCAAAAGTTCTTTACGTGAACAGCACAATAAAGATACAATCAAAGATCATTAAGCATTATGAAAACTAGAAGTATTGACGAGACATTCATTACTATGATGAGCATGAAACACCTGCCAAGAATTTATTTAACGCGATCGTTTATAAGCGACCTCCACTACTTGTGAATATAAGTTTGTAACTATTAGGTGAAACTCCCTTATATTCTAGCATCATATTCATGCATGCAAACTAAGTGTGCACTCTTAATAAACATACACGAATAAGTTATCAATCAAGCAGTTAAACAAATTGAATTCACAACTTATGAAATCACAACTAAAGGTAATCAAATCATATTGCAAGCATGAACATGGTTTCGAATTCCCCCTAACTAAGGGGGGTTTAGTTCCTCATACTCACAAAGCAAAGATAAACAAATTTAGACATTGAAAACAAAAGAATGAAAACACCTAAAAATGCTCCAACAATACAACTTGAATGGCAAGCACGTCCAAGGGTCCTCTTTCTTCTCTTTGTTGTGGCACAAGGTGTGGTTTGATGGATGAGTGGTAAATTATGGTGGTGGATGGATATATGTGAGTTATGGTGAAGGGTGGATGGGTGGATTGTGTTCTCTCGGCCAAGGAATGAAAGTGCAAGTGTATGGAGTTGTGAGATGTGAATGTAGTGTCTTTTGATGGATCTTTTTCTCCCTTTTTGTTATGGTGAATGGTGGATGTATTTATAGGTTAGGGAGAGAACCACCATCTAATTAAGGTGGTAGTGGTGTATGTTGTGGTAATGAGTGGATGTAATGGGTGTAGTGGGTGAATGTTTGGTAATGAGTGGATGTAATGGGTGTAGTGGATGGATGTTTGGTAATGAGTGGATGTAATGGGTGTTGTGGATGGATGTTTGGTAATGAGTGGATGTAATGGGTGGATGTAATGGGTGTAGTGGGTGAATGTTTGGTAATGAGTGGATGTATGGATGTAATGGGTGTAGTGGGTGAATGTTTGGTAATGAGTGGATGTAATGGGTGGATGTAATGGGTGTAGTGGGTGAATGTTTGGTAATGAGTGGATGTAATGGGTGTAGTGGATGGATGTAATGGGTGTAGTGGGTGAATATTTGGTAATGAGTGGATGTAATGGGTGTAGTGGATGGATGTTTGGTAATGAGTGGATGTAATGGGTGTAGTGGGTGGATGTTTGGTAATGAGTGGTTGTAATGGGTGTAGTGGGTGGATGTTTGGTAATGAGTGGATGTAATGGGTGGATGTAATGGGTGTAGTGGATGGATGTTTGGTAATGAGTGGTTGTAATGGGTGTAGTGGGTGGATGTTTGGTAATGAGTGGATGTAATGGGTGTAGTGGATGGATGTTTGGTAATGAGTGGATGTAATGGGTGTAGTGGATGGATGTTTGGAGTTGTAGGTCAACACACTTGCACACACACATGCTAATTTCTAGCCTTCAAATCTTCAAAAATGTCCATCCTCATGTCTCCAAGCTTGCACTATCCAATCTTGGCCCAAAAATGCTCCAAAATGCTCCAAATAGCACTTTGTTGCTAACTTTGTTATTTGAACCTACAAACACACGAAAATAGCTTAAAATACATAATTGACTAAGAAATAACAACATAAATGCACAAGAACAAGCTAACTAAGTCGCATAAATATGCTCTTATCACCTTGCCATGGTGCTAAGGTCGCCGAAAGAAAGGAGTCGGTGCCAGGACTCGCTCATTCTCCAGATCTTCAACTCGGTCTCTGACATCAAGACCATCATCGGCCTTCTTCCAGGTCTTCGACTCGGCCTCTAAGACGTGGTATCGAACAAAAAGCTTTACCAGCAGTACAAATCTGAGAGTGGTCGAAGAGTACGAAGGCTTCGACGATGTGGCAGCGGGGCTGAGCGACAATATCAGTGAGGTGAGGCTGGTGAGTGGTAAGCACTGTGAGAAGCAGAAGACGATTGAGAATTTGAGAGTTGGAGGCGAATGAGAGGGAGTCAAGGGACTGAGGGAAAGGGTTTGAGAGTCTGATTCTGGAACTCGGGAGGAATTCACTAGGGTTGAAACTAACAGTTGAGATTGGATGATAGGTTATCATTCAATCTCGGTCATTCATTCTAATTAGAAATGGGTCGATCAGGGAACCTGTTTTTCTAAGTATTTGGACTCGGTCTGCCCCAAAAATGAAAAGGGCCCACCCCATTTTTTCTTTAAAATATTAGGAATCGGCTCGTACCCGCCTCAAACTGTGATTATACGCCTCAACCTGTGGTTCCTATACCCGTTTGCCCAACCCTATTTAGCATTGCTCTATATTGTGCAAGCAACATTTAGGAGAAAAGGAAAAAAGTTAAACCACACAAAAATTATCAGGTGATGTGAAAAAAAAAAAATATGAAGGGTAAAATTGTAAACCTAACTTAGATACCAAAACCCTAGCTTGTACAAAAGGTTATTTCCTCTCCTTTCTTCTACCCTTGCACTGCGTCGTTCCCTTGTCTCGCAATTCAGCACCCCATTCCGCGTCGCCATTTTCCTGTCTTATTCGACCTCTATTGCTCTCATCTGGAAATCCAACCTCCAGGTTAGGGATCCTTTGTTATATTATTTAATATGAAATCGGCTTGAATTTTCTGTTGGGTTTCTGAATTTGAATAAGAACTTCATAATCGCAAATGTTTATCTGGGGCGATTAGTTTAGTGATACATATTCTTTTTCTCCTTTTCATTTTCCTGACAATTTTATTTATTGAAAATTTAGAGCTTGATTCATAGAAACATATAGGTCAGATTTGCTTTGAAACTGGGTTCACTTAATGGCAGCTATTACCAAATATCATGCTGTTGTTTTGGTGGTTACCTGTGTTTTACTTATTATCGTAAATTCGTTATGCTTGTATAACGGTGTACCCTCCTTTAAGTCCGGCGGCATTTCACTTTTCTTTCACCTCTTTGGCTTGTTGTCTTGTTGTCCTAGTTGATGTGTTCTGTTTTTTTGCTTACAATATAAGTTGAATTGTTGCATGCTTTGAACTAGATCAAAATAATTTGTTTTTCTAATTTTCCTTTTAGTAAATGTAGTCTTCTGTTGATCTCCCGAGTCGCGATTCACAATTTTTCATTGTTGCTTTTCTTCATTCCGTTGTCTTATTGACATTTGCTTTTTTGATTTGTGTTTCAATATATTACTCATGGAATCCACGATTAAGCATGCTATTGTAATCAAGGTTATAAGGCGGACTGGATCTCGTGGGCAGGTGACTCAGGTGAGAGTCAAATTTTTGGATGACCAGAACCGTTTCATCATGAGGAATGTTAAGGGACCAGTGAGAGAGGGGGATATCCTTACCTTGCTCGAGTCCAAGATGGAGGCAAGAAGGTTGCGGTGATCAATCTGATATGGTCTTGTTTGTCGACGTTCCTACGTCTGTTTTGGTTATTTGCAAACAATTATTATTTATGTTGGTGAATGGCTGTTGTGTTGCCATCTCTGGGTATTACTAGCATCATAGGCCTGATTTTTGTGATGAGATTTTGTTATAGAATCGTTCTAAACTAAATTGTCTTAACAATCTTTAAGTTTTGTTTGAATATGTAACAGTGGTCCTACTTTCTGTGTCAAATCTTTGTTTTCGTTTTTCCCTGACCGCATATTATTGTTCTCTAGCAACAATTTGGTTCTTAAAAGTTGCCATGTTTTGTTGCTTCGTTGGTGTTAAACTTGGTATCAATTTTATCTTGTTCTTCGTTTTGAAGGGTGAAAAGGAACCTACCATAGGTTCTTTCCCATACCCTTTAGATATTTCCAATGGGATTGATTTCGACACCTTTTTTAGCTTCTTATACACTTCTATTTAATCATGCCTATTGATTCGTTTTATTTATCAATTTGATGACAATAAATAAAGAGTGGGAGTGTGATTCTATAGAAGGTCTTTGAAAATCACATTCCTTTTCTAAATTGCTAATCATTTTATTCTCTGAATTTCCAAACTTTTTAATGCTATTTGTATGAGAAAATACACCATATGGTTGTGGTTCTACACTTGACTAATGCTATTTGTAAGAAGCAATTCAAACAAAGAAGAGTCGTCGAGTCTTTTAGCGGTGGCTGTAACTGAGTATGTTATTAAGTTGGGTGGACAAAGGCGTTCTAGTCTCTGCACCCACGGTTGGGTAAGATTTAATGCGTTGTGAGGCCATTAAGCATGCCTTAAATTACTCGGAATAGTAGAACACCATGCCCATTATGGTGGGAAGCAAATCAGCAACAAAGAAGAGTGCAATACGGTTAATATCAAATTTGTCCCCTAAATTTTTGGTGTTCTTACATTTTGGTCTTTGATATTATTTTTATCTTTCTAGTTTCTCTGAATCTTTGAAAGCGTGTTTAAGGAGAGAAAATGGTTTTCGTTACAATCTTACAAGACATATAAGTTGGACATTTTTTGTTTGCTTTTAAGGACGAGATTTTAGCCAACGATGCTAAACCCTAAACCCAAACTCATACATTTCCGGGAAATCCAAAACACAAAAAACCATTAAAACCACACTTACATTCTTGTTAATTTGCACATGCAATTTGGGGAAAGAAAAATCTGGTTTGGTGCGGTGGCACCACCTGCACCATCTACACACCCTTAGGATCAACAGTGTGCTCAAGACACGAATAATTATTATTTCAAGCTTGAGCTCGGCTCTTTGTAAACACAAACTTGAACTTATATGATTTTTTGGGTTCTTTCTCAAACAGAAAGATTGTTAGTTTGGTAATAAGGTTGAACATTTATCAGCCATACTTAACAAGGGAACCGAATCAAGTAGGTACATTTTGTGGTGCTCGTTTGAATGTGCTTTTAAAATAATTGAAAGCGTTTTTTAGAGAAAATGTTTTTGGATCCAAACGCTCTTGAAGTGCTTTCTGTTCTGCAATAAGCACCAGTTATGTGTAAGCACTTTAAGTGTTTTTTCAAGATTTACTTGCATTTTTACTGAGGATTGATTCTAAAAATATTTTCATCAAAAACGCTTTCAGTCATTTAAAAACAAAAAAAAAATCACAATCTTGGAGCTTCAAACCTGGAACCTTTTTTTTTTTTTTGTATTTTAGAAGTCGAAATCTGCGTTCTTACCACTGGACCACTTGATTTGGTTCCATTGGATTATTTTGATCAACTTGATTTATTGTATATTCATGAATCATAATCATGGACCACACTCCACTTGATTCTCCCATTCCACGTCCTTCTCCCTTCATGTAATCCCACAATTATTTGTCACATACCCATTTGTTGCCAACTTGCCATACCAAATTAAACATCCAACCAATAAAATATATTACCTACAACAATCAGACGACCCTGCCCAAAATTCCTGCACCAATCAACTGCACACAAAAATTATGGAGCCACGCGACACTTAGTAAACCCCACACCCACTTTCTCAGTTCTGCAAACAAGGATTTGGATCCCATCCAGATCCAAATTGTGGAAATCTTAAGAATCCTCATATTCTAATTATTCATCGTATATCATGCGGTCAGAAATTATTTGAATTTTTTATTTAAAATTAATATACAAATTATATGTAACAAAAGTTGATTGTATGATATGCGATAAATATGTAGAATGTGATGATCCTAGTATCCCTACAAACAGGATCCTTATCCTGCAAACAAACCCATTTGTTCATTCATTTTCCTCTACTTTCTCAAGAACCAAACATTCGATACCAATGGCCATTTCCAACCTCTTCCCCTTCCTTTGCCTCCTCTGTTTTCTTTTTCCTCCGGTGCTCTCCATCCTGCCCGACCTATCCGACCGTCCAAAAACCTTCATCGTCCACGTGTCTAAATCGGAGAAGCCATCCCTCTTCTCTTCCCACCGCAGCTGGTACATTTCCATCATCCAATCCCTCCCGTCCCCCCACCCCACCAAACTCCTATACACCTACGACCCTGCCATCAACGGCTTTTTCGCCAACCTCACATCCTCTTAAGCCAACCAACTCATTTCCCACCCCACCGTTCTCTCTGTCACGCCCAACCAACCACATCAGCTCCACACCACTCATACCCCCAGCTTCATCAACCTCGATGAATCCTTCGGCCTGTGGCCAAACTTCGACTACGCTGAGGATGTCATAGTCGGCGTCATCGACATCGAGATTTGGCCGGAGCGCCCGAGCTTCTCAGACTCGAGTTTTGGCTCAATTATGTCCCGATGGAAGGGCACCTGCGTCACCGCCCCTGACTTCCCGTCCTCCTCCTGCAACTGCAAAATCATCAGAGCCAGAGCCTACTTCAAAAGGTACGAATCCCACATCGGAAGATTAATGGACAAATCGAATGAATCGAAGTCGCCAATAGACACCGAAGGCCATATGACCCACACGACCTCCACTGTCGCTGGTTCTCCGGTTGTTAAGGTGAGCTTGTTCACATACGCTCAAGGCGAAGCCAGAGGCATGGCCACCAAGGCAAGAATTGTCGTCTACAAAATCTGTTGGTCTTTTGGATGTTTTGATTCAAACATTTTGGCTGCCATGGATCAAGCAATTGCCGACGACATTGACATAATTTCGTTCTCAATTGGAGCCAATGGTTAATCTTAGTCGTACGATCGAGACTCTATAGCCATAAGATCTTTCGAGGTCGCCAAGCACGGTGTTCTCGTCTCCACCTCGGCTGGAAATTCTGGGCCTAACTCATTTACGACCACTAACATCGCTCCATGGATTCTCACAATTAGTGTTTCCATCATTGACAGAGAATTCCCCACAGACGTTATCCTCGGCGACAACCGACTTTTTGGTGGGGTTTCGTTGTACTCCGGCGAGCCTTTAGTTGATCACCAACTTCCATTAATTTATGGTGGAGGCTTAAAGCAGGTACTGTTACACATGGGTTTTCAAGCCATCAAAAGTCCAGTGGAATATCGTTGTCTGCGACCGCAGCAACAATGCGAGAGTCAAAAAAGGAAGCGCGGTGAAGCTAGCTGGTGGGCTCGGGTTTCTCTTGGCCAACAAAGAGGACAACGGGGAAGAACTTCTTGCCGATGCTCACCTCATCCCAGCAATAGAGGTGGGTGAAATTGCGGCCAATCAAATAAAGGAGTACATCAAGTTGAGCCAATATCCGACGGCCACAATTATTTTCCTAGGAATTGTAATTGGTACTTTGCCGCCAGCTCCAAAGGTCGCAGCTTTTTCGAGTAGAAGACTGAATTCGCTCACATTGGAGATTCTCAAGCCAAATGTAATAGCTCATGGAGTGAACATTTTGGCCGGTTAGACTGGGGCGTTTACCCCTACTGATTTGGACATTGATCATAGAATAACCGAGTTCAATATAATTTCGGGGACGTCCATGTCCTGCCTGCATATGGGCGGCATTGCTACTTTGCTTCGAAAAGCCTACCTAAATTGGTCAATTGCCGCTATAAAATCTGCTTTGATCATAACAACTTACACTTTAGACGATTCGGGTAAGAAAATCAGGGACCTTGCAACAGGGAAAGAGTCAATTCCTTTTGTTCATGGAGCAAGACATGTTGATCTCAACAGAGCTCTCAATCTCAGGTTGATTTACGATCTTAATGTGAACGATTATGTTGCATTTTTGTGCTCAATAGGGTAAATTCGAGGTAAATTGCAGTTTTCTTAGGAAAGCCTATTGGTTCTGATATATGCTCAAAGAACAGTTTGTCTAGTCCTGGTGATCTGAATTACCCTTCGTTTTCCATCATTTTGAGCTCGGATCAAAGCCTGGTTAAGTACAAGAGAGTCGTTACGAATGTGGGGAGCAATGCGGATGCGGTTTATAAGGTGAATGTGACTGCTCAAATTGGTGTTGAAATCAGCGTTTCACCGAGCGAGCTGGTGTTCAATGATGAAAACCAGAGTTAGAGTTATGAGGATACATTCTGTAAAGGAGTTGGCTATGATGGCGGAGAGCGATATGGGTCTATTAAGTGGATAGATGGTAGTCATCTGATGAGGAGTCCAGTTGCTGTGAGGTAGAGCAGCACTAGGTATACAACTTCCCTGTGAGAATTAGCATCAGGGTTGTTCAGCTAGCATTTGGGTGATCACTTTGCTTTGTTTTCTGCAATTTTAAGCTATCAACTACCCATTTGTACAAATACGAAGGGCATGGGATATGCCGGGTAGGCCATGATTATTCGAATACGTTACACTGTTGAGAAAATCGAACCTAAATCAATAAAATGAACCAAATTCTACCCAAAAACTTCAAACCATGCATCTTTAACATTATTAAGTGGAGTTTAAATAAATGATTAGGTGTCAACAAATGAGATAAGTCACAGAAAGCCCAGAATTTTAAAGGTAGAAGATTTGATCTCATGCATTGGTAACCAAAAGAAAAGCTTTCTATCTTCTATCCTAGGTGAAGGAATTGGAACTGTGTCAGTATGCTTGTAAAACGCTCAACATTTCAATTGGATTTGACTTAACCTAAATCTCAATCCATTCATAAATCAAACTTTTGCTTAATCAATAAAACTCATAGATTGGCAACCAAAATAAAAGCTTTCCATCTTAGGGGAAGTGGTTGGAACGATCTCAATAAACGCTCGAATTTGAATCCGATTGGACTTGATCC